TGTGCTAAAATAAAACCTTTCCAAAAACTGTGGAAGAGTTACCACAATCCATAGACCTTGGTAACCGAAGAGATCCTGTTTCTTGATTTTTCCAGAAATCAGCGTCTGAAAAGTCTTTCGATAAATTATGGAACTAGATGAGATTTTTCTATATACAGTCAAATATAAAAATGAATATAAGCAGAAACCCAACCACTTTCAATGTCAGAAAACTTCCTTCTCTACAAAGCTGCACTGTGATGCAGTAGAAAGACTAGGCAGTTCCCATAATTATCCGTTACTTGAAATAAATAAATTCCAACTGGGTTAATAAAATGCTGCTGCTTTTAAAATCAGTGACTTACAGCAATTCATCTTCTCTAGTTCCAAAACCCGGAATTTTCCATCTTTCATACAAACCTTCATTATTAAACACTTTCAAGAAAATAATTAATTCTGCAACTGTCCTCCAATTGTGTCTCACAGATTCAATCACAAATAGCGCGTGCTGCTCTAAACGGCCAAGTCTCAGTGGAAGAGGGCGATAAAAGCAACAAAAATGATCGATTAATCCCCGAAGTTCCAAAGCACAGATTGAGCGTGCAACCAGAGTGTGAAGGGTCAAGGTAATAGTTTGTCAAGCAAAAGAGTAAAGATAAAACTTCAAAGTTCTGCAGGAAAACCGTCTGAGAAATTAAAGGTGTTAAAAGAAACTGCAGATTTTTGCCTGAATGACACTAGAATAATGGAGCTGTTTCAATCCATACTCCTTCAAATGAACAAACCCCTAGGATAAAAAAGTATAAATCCCGTAAAAACTGTGATGACTAACGGTTCGGTTTTACAAAAACATTTGTTCAAGACCCATTTTGGAGGCTTCATCCCGACTTAGAAGTAGCGCTGCCTTTTTGGCAAAAACTTACTCTGATATTACTTCTTTATAAATAATGGATTAATCATTTTGGAAATTCAATGTCAATAACTACGTGCAGTACTCAAAAAATTTGGGAACTATAGCCAGTGACGAAAAATTACAGAAGGTCCACCTCCATCTGCGATAAAAGACTAAAATAACAATTTTCTTCCAACCCCACCAAAACCGTAAGATTAAGGATAGAAGTAACCACCGTCAACTGAGGAGTTTTGCAAATTATTCAAACTCTTAATTCAAAAAAGATCATTTCTATCCCAAAATTTTTTTGTAGTGTAACGCATCCAATCATTTTTCGACGAAAACCACTTTCAAACAAATTAGAACATTTGAAAATAAATTTGCAAGAACGATGAGTAACCGCTCGACAATGGGGCATTACGGTACGCCAAATAACATTGAGAAACTGCCGTCTAGAAAATCGAAATACACATCTTACTAATTCCGGCTGCTAGCCCAAAATTACTAACCCCGTCGATCCTCCCTGTGATGCTCTGGGCTCCTTGAAGACAATCTTTCTGGATGGGAGGTGGACAGCAATGAAACTGATTTCGGCGGTACAACATTCTGTTGTTGAGATACTCTATCGCCTGAAAAACAACTTCACTTTTCAAGTCAGTTGCATCCTTGTAAGCACTTAAAGCATTAAAATCGTGCCGTCTGGTAAGATTCCAAAAACTTTAAAGCCGTAACTTTAACTTGAAATATGACCTACTTCCAGAAACAATGCGAAAAACCTCCTCAAGAAGTTCACGCGCATGTGCTATCTGTGCCGGAGTCAAATTCATTTCACTCGGCAACTTCCCTAGAAGAATAAGAAGTTAAAAAAAGTATAGCAAAAGTAAATAAATATGCATCAGATAATGACTAAGCAATACGATTACAAGGCTGAAACTGAAAGATAAAGATAAGAACACTTCAAAAGAAACTTGAAACTGACCTTGACCACCGACAATGTTATCAATACTGCCAACCATGCCTCGAATGTCAGAGGAATCATTAGTTGACTGTCGTATATCACGATCGCTCGCAAACTTTCCATATGAATAAGGAGTTCCAGATATTTGCTCACGACTACTACAAGCCTGATAACGCACAGCTGACGGGTTTTCCAAAACCGAATTAACTCTTTCCAACGACGAACTTCTTTCATCAAACTCTTCATTAGACCGTGGCCCCGTTCCTGGCGAATGTCGAGACAGAGGTACAAATCGGCCTTCAGTGGCACAACCATTCCTCGCAGTTCTTCAATAACAGAAAAAATTTTATGCAAAAAAATCTTAAGAAGAATATAGAACTGAGAGAAAAATTTGCTCAACAAAATTTTTAGACACACCCCCCCAAAAGTCAGAACCTGTTAACCCAAGTAATTCGGTTCTGATCTGTCTTCTACCACTGATTCAAATTGCCTATACAATATAAAAAAATTTCAAATTCAAACACTTAGAGAGAAAAAGTACACAAATCCCATTCAGAAATATAAATTACATAACTCAAACAAAGCCTACAAAGAACCATGAAAAGAACATGCCACGTAGACGCTCTGATAAAGATCACCAATAGGTTTACCAAAAAAGAGTAAACACTAAATGCAATAAATACTTAAATAGTAAAATATACTGAAATATCAAACTGTTACAAATTAACATGCAACGAGAGCATTTCTTACTATGAAAATAGGTGTTCACAAAAAAGTATTAGATTATCTCAATGAAACGTCTGCTGCTCACAAAAAAATTATGGAAAGAACGTTTACAGCACCAGATGGATAAGTCGTAATTTACCTAAAACACCCACTTTAGAACATTACTGGTAGCAGAAGAACAGTGTGGCACAAAAAAGAAAGTTTACAAATTCACAAGCCTATACTTAACAAATGCTACACGTAAGAATAAATAAATTTACGTCAAACGCGCAATAAAAATTAACTGGGTGTGGAAATTAGGTCTCACCACAATTTTTCTTAGTGGAAAAAGTGAAGCAACTCGGCAATCAAACTTCACTAACATTACAAAATCCCCCAGTTTCCTGCTTTGAAGAAATTAAAATGAGCTGCTAATTCATCTAGTTCTTTTAGATGAAAAGTGCAGTCCAAAAATGGTACTTGACACGAAATCTCCGCTAAAATTAGGATAAAATCGGTCCACCCATGAAACGCAGTAAACAATATCCTTCATCCAAAATGTTTACGAAACCTAAGTAACTGGTACTCAACCCAGCAGAAATGCAATCTAGTTAACTTCGCCAGTATACATTTTAGATACTAAATCACGACCCAGAAATGAAATTCCTATGGAAAGGAGGCACAGCTACTTCCTTAGGTTTCAACCCTTGCTAAAAAACAAATCCTAAAAACAATCTCGGTCTCCAAAATGCGTTTCATACAACAGCCGAAGAAAAAATGACTCACAATAAAAAAATATTTTAAAGAAATATTTTGATAAACTATTCAAAGAACAACAATCTCCAGTTTCTGTACAACTGCAAAGAAGTAATGTAAGCATTACAATTCGAAAATGCTTTAAAAACAAGTAGAGGAAAGCGAAATACAATGCCCCAGTTCCTTACTTCTAAACTACAATATTATAAGTTTACGTCCATCGGTTTCAAGATTAGAATCAAAATATGCAGAAAAGAACCAAAAAGAAAATTAAGGAGGTTGGTATCAGCCTAGACGCGGTCAAAAATACAGCTTTAATAAATAAGCTCCACAGAATAAAGAGCAGAAAAACAAACTCGCTTCTAGTGGGAGAAAGCCGGGTCCTTGATCTCGATATCGAACACCAGTGAGTATCATTTGCAAGAAAATGTTCATCGACTGATTCGACAAAATGAAAGTTCCTTTGCTCAAATGGGCGATTATGCCAGGAGTCCTCCTTATAAGAACACCGCACCAATCGCTTTTCCGAGTAACTATGGCTAGGAGTCGGTGTTCTTCTCCACGCAACTCTCTCGTCAGTAAGCACCTGAGAATGACGATCCCATGAGCTTCTAGGGGAGCTCTTCGAACGGGACCTGCTTCTTCTGTAATATCTTGAACCATTCGCCTCAGGAGAACGTCGTTTCCATGAAACTGGAGATACTGAATAACGGGAAGATTTCTCTTCTGGCAAAGCTCTGACCTCGCGCTGATGGCGACTTTCTGCATCCCATGAGTCCACGCCAAAATCATTGCGATGGGCTTCACCAATCTCCTATACAACTTAACGTGAGTTTTTTAATTGTACATATTTGCTAACACAAAGTTAAACGGGAAGGCCTTTAAATATGGGAAATTTTTTACGCATTATTCAAGTAAAAAATCTACATGATAACAGCGCTGGTTTCCTTTAGTAATATATATGCAAAAAAGGCACACTTGCTATGTGTCATGCTACGACTTTACATCCTGCTTGAGATAACGAAACGAAGACTGAAACATTTTGAAGCTACTTCAGTCTGAATTCCCAACGTCCTTCCTTTGAAAACAGAAAACTTCGACATTTCCCCCAAGCTTCTCAGAATTAATGAAACAAAACTAAATTTGGGGAACAATCCATTTACACAAGTCTTCCAGTACCTTTAAATAACGAGGCCACTGAACGTAAGACATTCCGGTTCTAAATTCCGCCAAACTCTGAAACAGCAATAAGCCATCGGAAACAAGCATCAACATACAGGCACAAGCTCTGATCTTGCTCTTTCGAAAAACATTCGATTGGCTGACACTAGTTGTACAAGATGTATAGCCGTACTGTTTGCAAACCTCTTTACACGGCTGACTTTGCAAAGAAAATAGCTCAAAGACAGTGTACGACGTCTCAATCGCATCACTTTTTAAAAGTAATTCACGTAACCCTTGGATAGACCAAACAGTCTGAACACCATAAAGCGCAAGTGTCAAGTTTTGATAACGCGAAACGGAGTTTAAGACTAGAATAGACCGACCGACACAACCAATAATACTCTGAAGAGCAGAAGGACTAGACACACCCAATAAAACAAAGCCGGAGAAATGTTTCACATTGTTGCACTTTCCAACACGAAAGAGAACTCAAATCCAAAGCAACATTTCCGCGAAGAAATACCCAAGGATTCCAATTATTTCTTGCCAGTACCAATATAAATTGTAATGAATTTTCAACAGTACAATCTTCCAGATGATACGTAAGGAAGTAGCAAGCAACTTCTCGAAAACGATGCTTCTTCGAGTTCAAATTCCAAACCATTGGTAATCACAACTAAGTATTTCAAATCCTCTTCTCCACGATCTCAGTCAGAATCATTTACACCGTTACTGACTATGCAAGAAGTGAAGTAAATAGCAAGCGAAGGTCTGCTTTACCACATTCCATATAACTTCACATTCAGATCCTCTGTCGGAAAAAATTTCAATCAGTACAACAGCAATTCAGTGAATTCTGCCCAAAGCACAATTTAATGCACACCCACTGCAACAACTTTGTCAAGATAACCGACTGAAACTTCCGTAGACAACTATTAGAGGTTCAACTGAAAACATGTCATCAGTGGCCAATCGAAACGCCTCTAACGTTACTTTTCAACACAAAAGCCGGCAATAAGGAAACGCCAGAAGGAAAAAAATTGAAAAAAATTAAATTAATTTACCAGAAAATTACAGAGCTGAATTTTCCGACTCAGTACAATTTCAATAAGCAATAGTAAAAATATCCAATTTGATCATCTTTGAGAATTTAATCCTTATACAAGAAAAAAAAAAAAAGCATAAGATGAAAATTTTTCCACACTAATGCCTGCATTAAAAATCTGTCTGTTTTAAAATCATAACCTCTATAGCCTAAATCCAAAACAAACCCTTTTCAGAAAACTTTCCACGTAATTTTACAAAAGCATTACTTCTTGAGTGAAACTATTTAAGCATTGATCGCCCCGTACCCCCCTAATACACATATTTGTTCCAGAAAGAGTGGGACTTACTGCAAGTTCAGTAGCTCTAAAGGCTTCATTCCGGTCAAAGCAAGAGTTCCCGACTCTTCTTTCTCCACGTAAGAACGGCCAAGTACTCTCGTTCCTTCCATGACGATTTACCTTGAAATATGCCAATTTTAGAGTATTCAGTAAAATTTACTTAGGTAAATGGAACTATCGGAACGTTTAGATTACCACTCTCAAATCAATCTGCGAGGTAAAACGATCAGTCACACGAGGATCAAAGAGATTTGGATTAATGTCTTTGACTTTACCGAAAGTATCATTCCTGGATTTCTGAAATGAATACAGCAAATACACACTGGAACTTATTAACAATAACAATCAAAAAACAAAGCAATTAAACTTTTCCAACTT